CAACTGCCCACGTAAATAAACTCATACCACATGGACTGGCTGATTTGCAGGCGTGTGGCTTGGGCTTGATTCAACCCAGTCTTGCATCAGGGTTACGGTTTAGGCTTTAGTGAAGAAATATTTTCACCCGTTCCATTTTCCTCAATCACAAGCTGATGCTAAGTCATCCCTAGACTTACTTAACCTCACAGAGCATTTCTGCTACGGCATGATTGAGCACGACCAAATGCTGTACGCGACGTGAGGAAGAGCGCACAAATCCCCAACCAAAACGCGAGCCCAAACACTGGTAGATGTTTTACTGCTTCAATCGAAGGCAGCGTACAGCTGTAGCATGCTTTCGGTGCGTAACTGCCATGCCACCCGAAGGAAGCTTGAGGACTGGCATACTGTCAGGTTGCGACAAGTGCGTTGGCAAACAAATTACAGCTAGCTAATAGTAGACAAACACTGTCTTTTCAAAAATGTCCGTAGTGGCCCGACAAATTTAATTCCCATTTTTGGAAATTAAATTGGCGATAATTCCACAACTACATGGTTTCTTGGGATACTGCTATCCCCATCAAATTCATTGACATTTGTATGGAAATCTGGAGGTAACATTGGTGTTGCACCGCATTTAGGGTGCTTAATCGGAAAAATTTGTTCGATTCGCAGGTTGTGGGACTTCCCCCACTATATATATTTAGCCATGAAGCCAGTGACGTCTCATTTCAGGGGGCTCGTATACGTACCGAGCCAAATATAACCTTGAGTTTAACCAGATATTTGGATATTCAGTGAGAAAGGAGAGCCTCATCTCTGAGCTTTTTGGGATCCACGCGAGGTAGATCAGTGGTTAGAGCTTGGTTCGAAATTCACTCTGGCTTTATGACAGCACCTGTCTGGGCTTCTGTAACTTGAAGTATCTCGGCCATCGGGTTGCATGGCAGCTATGCACATTAAGGGTGCCGTGGTGAATGACCCATTTACTTTATTTGCTATAAACAGCCGATCCAGTCTCAAAATTACTTATCAATTCGTTCCCGCAAGTCAATAACCCGAATAAGTCAAAAGCTGGTTAGACATGTTTACATCTGGTTTAGTTGTGCAGTGCACTCAGCAGGTGCGTAATCCTCTGGTAAACAGCCTGAGGTGGTCACTTGCTCCATCCTTTCACGCCTACCTGATGAGTTCCAATGCAAGCAAGACACCCTATGGCTGCTCTTTCAGACCGGACCGTCTTTACTTCATGTCATGGACTACTTAAGCGGTACGAGTAGTGCAGAGTTAGCGGAATTATGTAATTTGGCAAATGGGCGGAGCACTTGTTTAGCAAGTCAAGTGGGGGTTGGGGGGTTGGGAAATGAGCTATGCATTGAAGGCAAAAGCTTTGATGCACAAGCGCCGTTGAGGGCGCGACTGGGTCATGTCTGATAATGCCCCTAGCCCGTCTCGGGGTCCCCATCCAGGAAGAGGGCAGTGGCCTATATCGCCCCTTTCTGTTTACGATCGTTGGTGAAAGGGAGGTTGGACTATTAGTGGATGTTTGGTATGTCCTGGGGTTTAGCAGTGAAGATATATTTTTTGAATTTTTGAGGGAATACTCTATCTGCTTGACCGTTTCTTCGCTTAGGCACTGCACCAGTGGCTTGAGTTCTAATCTCATCCGTGCCTCGCTATAAGCGATTCAAATTTTATTGGTTGATGCGGTTTCCGATCGTAGGGTTAATGCAAAAGTAAACCTTAGGTTTTGACCGGGTGATTCATAAGTTGATTTCATTCGGGGCATTTGATTATTGCCGTCTGAATATAAGCAACCTGGCAGCTATTGTAATTTTCACGCTTGTCGCGGTGGCGAATAGACTCTGTCGACAATCTTGTTTCAGACTTGGAACGTGAGAAACGTATGGTAGTCTCCGTTCACGAAAGTCACCGGTGGAAAGTTGTTCCATGCACTTTCGCAGTGTGGTTTCCCAACGTATATTCGCTTGGCTTCTTAACACATCACTGATAGCAACGCAGTTGCCTTGGTACTGTCCAGCTGAGCCATTCTGGAGGAAATACTGCTGTGTATGGAAAAGACAAAGAGAATAGCAGGGATTTAGTGTGGCGCTTGGCGAAACCTACACCCCATATCCTACCTACAGCAATCAATCAATCATCTACAAACCGTCTGCCATAGACACCTTGGTCCCAGCTGCGCATTGAAGACGATAGCTTTGATGCATGAGCTCCATTGACTGCGCGACTGGGCCATTTCCACCACTGGTGATTTGAGTTCCGGGGTCACTATCCAGGGTGGCGACACTTGCCCACCCGACTAAGTTTACTGGTTAGTGTTTTCATACTTGGTTACCAGGTCATACACTGTCCACCTCTCGGTCGCTTCCATTCAGCACAGGGTTGGGAGAAAAGAGTTGTATGAGGCAAACAGTCTTGTGGCGTGCGGAGTACATGTCTCAACCAGCGCAACCTATGAAGCGGGAGAGTTCCTTCTTCCAACGACCTTCTGGCGTACCTCAGCATTACTGATCTGATGTTCCCACAAGTGCATGTCCGGGATGGTTGGACAGGTCAGAAATTACGCACGGCGTACTACTGCTTCGAATTTCGCATTTGAAGGTTAATTTATCGTGCGTAGGTTGACTACCCATTCCACTGGGCTTGATTTCAATGATATCATTGTTGCTTATGACGGTGGTGGCTTAGTCAAGTGGGGGTTGGGGGGTTGGGAAATGAGCTATGCATTGAAGGCAAAAGCTTTGATGCACAAGCGCCGTTGAGGGCGCGACTGGGTCATGTCTGATAATGCCCCTAGCCCGTCTCGGGGTCCCCATCCAGGAAGAGGGCAGTGGCCTATATCGCCCCTTTCTGTTTACGATCGTTGGTGAAAGGGAGGTTGGACTATTAGTGGATGTTTGGTATGTCCTGGGGTTTAGCAGTGAAGATATATTTTTTGAATTTTTGAGGGAATACTCTATCTGCTTGACCGTTTCTTCGCTTAGGCACTGCACCAGTGGCTTGAGTTCTAATCTCATCCGTGCCTCGCTATAAGCGATTCAAATTTTATTGGTTGATGCGGTTTCCGATCGTAGGGTTAATGCAAAAGTAAACCTTAGGTTTTGACCGGGTGATTCATAAGTTGATTTCATTCGGGGCATTTGATTATTGCCGTCTGAATATAAGCAACCTGGCAGCTATTGTAATTTTCACGCTTGTCGCGGTGGCGAATAGACTCTGTCGACAATCTTGTTTCAGACTTGGAACGTGAGAAACGTATGGTAGTCTCCGTTCACGAAAGTCACCGGTGGAAAGTTGTTCCATGCACTTTCGCAGTGTGGTTTCCCAACGTATATTCGCTTGGCTTCTTAACACATCACTGATAGCAACGCAGTTGCCTTGGTACTGTCCAGCTGAGCCATTCTGGAGGAAATACTGCTGTGTATGGAAAAGACAAAGAGAATAGCAGGGATTTAGTGTGGCGCTTGGCGAAACCTACACCCCATATCCTACCTACAGCAATCAATCAATCATCTACAAACCGTCTGCCATAGACACCTTGGTCCCAGCTGCGCATTGAAGACGATAGCTTTGATGCATGAGCTCCATTGACTGCGCGACTGGGCCATTTCCACCACTGGTGATTTGAGTTCCGGGGTCACTATCCAGGGTGGCGACACTTGCCCACCCGACTAAGTTTACTGGTTAGTGTTTTCATACTTGGTTACCAGGTCATACACTGTCCACCTCTCGGTCGCTTCCATTCAGCACAGGGTTGGGAGAAAAGAGTTGTATGAGGCAAACAGTCTTGTGGCGTGCGGAGTACATGTCTCAACCAGCGCAACCTATGAAGCGGGAGAGTTCCTTCTTCCAACGACCTTCTGGCGTACCTCAGCATTACTGATCTGATGTTCCCACAAGTGCATGTCCGGGATGGTTGGACAGGTCAGAAATTACGCACGGCGTACTACTGCTTCGAATTTCGCATTTGAAGGTTAATTTATCGTGCGTAGGTTGACTACCCATTCCACTGGGCTTGATTTCAATGATATCATTGTTGCTTATGACGGTGGTGGCTTAACTGCTTTTTACTCCATTCTGGATGACCAATGAACTTTCTCACAAGCTCTAACCCGGTTCACAAAGTATGTGTCCGGACCACTGAAGTCAACTCTGTTGGGGACAGTTATTGATGTTTTCGCGCTACTTCCCTGGATGTACGATCAATCCTTGTTATAGATTTGATCCTTAGACACATGTTTGGTGCTTAATTTCCGCATATAATTACGTTGCTTTTTCATGGTTTTTGATGATAGTTGTGGTATCGATGATGTTGTTACTGATACCATTGCTTGTTATCTGCAAATTTGCAAAGTATCTAAAAAGAACTTTTAAAGATAGCCTTCGAATTATGGTCCCTTATTGGATCAACTCAAGCGATAGATTACCCGACAACCATCCACCGATCGTTTTTACAAGGCCACGTTTTTCGCATCATAACTAATGGATTTACTCGGCTTCTGTCAATTTCGAAAAACAACATTGTTAGTGCAAATCACTTAGTGGACGTATGGATTGATAAAATGACGTGTTCGATGCCTAAAACGCGTCGAACACATGAGAGCATCACACTACTCATTCAGATGAAAATCCGCAGACCATTTGTAACAGAGTTCTCGTGCTATCCTTTTGATTCTTGGTTACTGTGCAACTCGTAGTAGCCAAGCTGGTTGACACTTACGGGTTTACGAGGTTATGGGGAAGAGTGGCTTAAATGTATCTCGAGCGTTGTACATCAGGTAACTGCAAGTTTCCCATTTCACAATCTCGAGCTAGTGACTGGTGTATTTGTCATTTTCAATTGTGTTGGAACGATTGAGATTTATGCGTGAATTTTTCTGCTTTACCCATTATCATATTCGTGTGGTATGTACCATATTGGAAACTACACTGTTCCGCACGTCATGTATGCTATTGGAATTTCATCTGATTCACCTTCGTTTTTTTATTTCGTATAGCCTGGACTAGAAGGTGTGGAGGAGGCTGCTCGACGTGCCTTAACCCAAGTATGCGCCCTATGCCGTCGCCTTGGTGCCAGCTTGAGTTGTCGGTCGCCAAACTGTACCATGTATTTCCACTTCCCTTGTGCCGCTGGGGCTGGTTGCTTGCAAGATGTGGAGACACTTGAGTTGCTTTGTCTACTGCATTTGGACGAAGCGGAGACGTACGGTACGACCTTTTGGTTATCTTTTGATGGATATGTAGTGGGATCCCGATAAACTCAGCTACGCTAGGCCTTTGAGTTCAAGGGTACTCACCATGTGGGCAACCTGGCAGTATCCCAGCCCTCGTGGTTCCGTCGGATGTTGTGGCGCTTGGCGAAACCTACACCCCATATCCTACCTACAGCAATCAATCAATCATCTACAAACCGTCTGCCATAGACACCTTGGTCCCAGCTGCGCATTGAAGACGATAGCTTTGATGCATGAGCTCCATTGACTGCGCGACTGGGCCATTTCCACCACTGGTGATTTGAGTTCCGGGGTCACTATCCAGGGTGGCGACACTTGCCCACCCGACTAAGTTTACTGGTTAGTGTTTTCATACTTGGTTACCAGGTCATACACTGTCCACCTCTCGGTCGCTTCCATTCAGCACAGGGTTGGGAGAAAAGAGTTGTATGAGGCAAACAGTCTTGTGGCGTGCGGAGTACATGTCTCAACCAGCGCAACCTATGAAGCGGGAGAGTTCCTTCTTCCAACGACCTTCTGGCGTACCTCAGCATTACTGATCTGATGTTCCCACAAGTGCATGTCCGGGATGGTTGGACAGGTCAGAAATTACGCACGGCGTACTACTGCTTCGAATTTCGCATTTGAAGGTTAATTTATCGTGCGTAGGTTGACTACCCATTCCACTGGGCTTGATTTCAATGATATCATTGTTGCTTATGACGGTGGTGGCTTAACTGCTTTTTACTCCATTCTGGATGACCAATGAACTTTCTCACAAGCTCTAACCCGGTTCACAAAGTATGTGTCCGGACCACTGAAGTCAACTCTGTTGGGGACAGTTATTGATGTTTTCGCGCTACTTCCCTGGATGTACGATCAATCCTTGTTATAGATTTGATCCTTAGACACATGTTTGGTGCTTAATTTCCGCATATAATTACGTTGCTTTTTCATGGTTTTTGATGATAGTTGTGGTATCGATGATGTTGTTACTGATACCATTGCTTGTTATCTGCAAATTTGCAAAGTATCTAAAAAGAACTTTTAAAGATAGCCTTCGAATTATGGTCCCTTATTGGATCAACTCAAGCGATAGATTACCCGACAACCATCCACCGATCGTTTTTACAAGGCCACGTTTTTCGCATCATAACTAATGGATTTACTCGGCTTCTGTCAATTTCGAAAAACAACATTGTTAGTGCAAATCACTTAGTGGACGTATGGATTGATAAAATGACGTGTTCGATGCCTAAAACGCGTCGAACACATGAGAGCATCACACTACTCATTCAGATGAAAATCCGCAGACCATTTGTAACAGAGTTCTCGTGCTATCCTTTTGATTCTTGGTTACTGTGCAACTCGTAGTAGCCAAGCTGGTTGACACTTACGGGTTTACGAGGTTATGGGGAAGAGTGGCTTAAATGTATCTCGAGCGTTGTACATCAGGTAACTGCAAGTTTCCCATTTCACAATCTCGAGCTAGTGACTGGTGTATTTGTCATTTTCAATTGTGTTGGAACGATTGAGATTTATGCGTGAATTTTTCTGCTTTACCCATTATCATATTCGTGTGGTATGTACCATATTGGAAACTACACTGTTCCGCACGTCATGTATGCTATTGGAATTTCATCTGATTCACCTTCGTTTTTTTATTTCGTATAGCCTGGACTAGAAGGTGTGGAGGAGGCTGCTCGACGTGCCTTAACCCAAGTATGCGCCCTATGCCGTCGCCTTGGTGCCAGCTTGAGTTGTCGGTCGCCAAACTGTACCATGTATTTCCACTTCCCTTGTGCCGCTGGGGCTGGTTGCTTGCAAGATGTGGAGACACTTGAGTTGCTTTGTCTACTGCATTTGGACGAAGCGGAGACGTACGGTACGACCTTTTGGTTATCTTTTGATGGATATGTAGTGGGATCCCGATAAACTCAGCTACGCTAGGCCTTTGAGTTCAAGGGTACTCGCCATGTGGGCAACCTGGCAGTATCCCAGCCCTCGTGGTTCCGTCGGATGTCATGGCAGCTAGGCACTGAAAGGGTGATACAGGTGAACAATTTTTTTCACGTGAACAGATCCCACAAGCAATCCTCCAGTTAGTACCAAGCTCAGTGATTGCTAGGCCGTCCAGTAGGATCGATGATTATTCAGTGAAATACTCATACAGGTGAACAATTTTTTTCACGTAGACAGATCCCACAAGCAATCCTCCAGTTAGTACCAAGCTCAGTGATTGCTAGGCCGTCCAGTAGGATCGATGATTATTCAGATGAAATACTCACATATAGTCCGATAGTCTGAATAAGTAAACAACTTGGTAGGATTCAAGCGTTACCCCTTAATGTTCTGCTTACCTTGTGGCCAGGAACCGTGCGATTATTTGCTGTTTCCGTATTTTTTCGTAAAGCACAGAGGACGCTTTGGAATCTTCCGTAGTTGTTTCTTCAAAGAAAAGCACCAGCCTAGTGGATGGCGAGCTCTCTGGCTATTGTCCGTTTCCGCAGACACTTTCGACTAAAATAACAGTATTTTCTTGTAAGTGGACAACATCTTTATTGGACTCTGCTTGTGGTCATCTTTTGCCAGGTTTCCATGCAACACAATGTGCCTTGTGTGAATGTCTTGGTGATATTTCGGAGCTGCTTTTCTGCACTGGTTGTGGAAGCCATTACCACGGATCATGTCTGGAGCCGTCTTTGCAACCCAATCCGACCATTCGTATTGGGTGGCAGTGCGCTGAATGCAAAGCCTGTCTAATTTGCAAGTGAGCACTTCATACCGTTTGAAGCTGTATTTCTCCATTGTTGAATAATTAGTGTTTCAGAGATTCTTCATAATGTCTGTCTCATGGTTGGGGATAATTGCCTATGCAGATTTTTCTGTTTGATTTATGTATCATGTGTTATCATGTTATCTCCATCGTCATTCGACTTATATCCGAGGTGCCAACTTCGCTGTTTGCTTAGCGTACCGTCCCTTACTTTGGCTGTCTCACAGCGAAGCATAAATGAATATCGCTGATGTCTTGAATATCCACCGACGGTTTTTTTTGTCATCTCGGTTTCCGCGGATACCTTGGAGACTCAGAAGCTTAACACACCCATCTTAACGTCACAGTCTTGTTTTCAAGTGTTCACCGGATGTTACAGTGCCCTTGTGTAGACACGTACGTTACGAGACGTTGAAGAAAAAAATGTGGTAGTTTTTGGTATCCAATGTGTGGTTGTTTATTATTCTGACGCATTGAGCCATCCGAGGACCATGGTCCGAAGGGGGTGTGCATCTGTTTCAAGTTTTGTATGAATCGAGCTGTCTGATCAATGCATCACCGATATTCATTCACATACGAAAATACCACAGACCATACATAAACTGACAGTTGTCGTCTCTTTGCTAATAGTGCAACACCGGTTGTGAGCGTATGTGTGTGCCTTTCTTCCAGTGCTGTCAGATAACTGGTGGAATGTTACCCCACCGATCTATATCACTGACGGGCACCAGCAGAGTCATCGGCTTCAGACCACGTCTCGACAGACAGGCAAGTGTGAATCGACTGACTCATTTGTGACCAGTCGATCGATCCGATTGATTGCTAAGGTAAATATCTTCGTGCGCCTTTGTCTGAAGCACCACGTGGCCCGTATGCGCTATTGACCCTGCCAAGTTGGAAGAACATATCGTAACTGACTGGTCCAGCGACAAATTGTTTGGCGGCCACGTACGTACAAGTGAACCGATCGATTCGATCATTTATTAGGGCATGAAAGTGGGTGCATCTCTACCGGGAAGCCTCAGTCATGCTTACAATAGGGTTGATGTTTCCGTCCGATTCCGTCTGACGATCACGCTGTAATTTCATCTTGTTCATCCACCATGCTATGATTAGTTTTGCCTGGATCTGTTCATCTGGTGCTCGAAAAAAACATGTGAATCCCTGGTGGAAACTTTTGGTGGGTGCCTCGCGCGTAGTACCCAATGGAACAGGTAACAACGCTACCCTATTGGTGCAACCTTTATCCACATCGGAGTTATTGGATGGATTAGTTGGATTACTTTTTTGGTACAATGTGCGCAGCACTAGCAATTGAGAACTGCGGTTTCCGACAATGTGCAGAATAGGGTTCGAAAGTCCACGGTACTATTTACACCCCACGTTCGTAGCGTCAGTAGCTGTGCTAATCTGTCACCGCCCGGTTTAACACGGTGTCACGGTTCGCGCACCAGACGAAGGCAAGCGGAATGTTGGTTCGGTGGCATGGGCTACTGCCAGTCTCGTCGTTCTGGTTGGCGCTGCGACCACATGCAGATCACGCCAGAACGGGTCAGAGCAGACCCAGCAGACAAGGAACGAACGCGTTTGGGTGAATAGGTTGGTGGCACACACATATGGTAGTGTGCTAGTGTCGGACGGGGCGACCTTTGCGGTGAGGTGCGGAGGAGTAAAACAGGCGGAAGTAGACGAGCAAAACAAGCAAAATGGAGGGTGGAATTATGTCAAGTTAGATTGAGTAGCTCTGTCTTTTACTGGAACACAGGTAAAGGTGCAGAGATGAATAAGTTGGCGATATACTATCCAGTTTGAACATCTATAAGGCGCAATTCCTAATCACCTCATAATAAAGGGTCTCATCGAAATTGAACGATGGGTCAATTAGGGTGGTTGTTATATCGATCGATCTGTTGAATTGGACGGTTACCGTTTTACTTTTCCAGTTGAGTTCTTACATTTCCATTTGAAATGATCTAATCACGTGGGTTTGAAGCCTCTTCAGCAACTGGTTGTACATCTGGTTGGAGGGAGCTGTTTGAAACATCATTAGTCGTACAGTTTTTGATACAGTATTTCTTGAAAAACGTGGGCTTTCGTATTACATTTCTTAGCAAGCCCGTTAAGAAAACGACAATGGCAAAATAAATTACTAAACCAAAGTTATTCGGGACGAATGCTCTGTTCGTAAGCGAATTTGTTCTTCCCGGTGTCTGT